ATGGGCGCCTCGATAACATGCGAATCTACCACACATCTTTCGCCGATTTTCTCTTTGACCAAGCTCGGTCGAAGGAATTCTTCATTGACGAAAACTATCAACTCGACTTTCTTGCTCAACGGTGGCTGCGCGCGCTCCAGACATCTAAGAGTTCTGCAGAACAAGAAACTGATTCAGAGTTGTGGAAGCATTGGGGTGATGTCTGCTCCCTTGTGGACAATCCTACGAGGGAGCTATTACTCCAACTTGATGGTCTTCATCTCAATGCTCTGATTACCGGGACTTTGAGGTTTTTGCAGTTTGACGGTTTCAGCGCAATGCGATGCCTATTTCGCCACTTCAGAACTATCGCATGCTGGCTATATGGTCGAGTATGTTCTGTGTTACTTGAGAATGTAGTCCATATTGATCTGACCCGAGATTCTTGCAGGCAGACGGAACAGTTCCTCCGACTCTTCTTGATCGCTTTGAGACTGTGCTGAAAGGGTTCGCCATTCCAGCAAGCATGGTCACGGCGACAGAGATCGCGACATACAACGGTATCGCCTCCGAAATCGCAACATGGACTGTGAAGCCTGAGCGAGAGCATCTTCTCCAGACTCCTGAACAGGCGTCTATGACAATGCAACCCATCTCCGAGTTACCCAAATCAGTTCTTCTCGATTTATTGAGCTCCGCCGCATTTTCCCAATGTTCAAGCTCCAGGAAAGCTTGGCAAGTGGCTATGGGTGCTGGTGCTGATGCTGATGGGCACTACCATGTTGATATCCAATACCACTATCCCAAGGTGATGGAGGCCCTTGTGAAGCAATTCAATAAGAGAGATATTGATGACCCGGAGATGGAGGGCATAATTTGGGATTTGTTGCATCCATGGCTGATTACATCATGTCATCCCCAACTTCAAGTTCTTTCCATTTACCGGGCTGCTTTGATGGCTGCTGAGAGGTTGAGACGGCACTATAGTGGGAGACGTGCACCGAGGTACATGACCCCTAACCATGAGTCGACTGTCAACTCCAAAAGACCACAAGACAAGATATTATTGTGGCTTGATGTGCGTTGAGTTTTTTGTCCTCTTTCGATTGTTTTGATATTGATGTTTCATTTACCCAACTATGTGCTTTGGTAGTCTTTCCCTCCTGTATATGCCACTGAAGCTGCCCGGATAAAAGAGATTATCGACGATTCGAGGATGTCATGGAGTTTTGATAGGATACAATTCTCAGGTATTTAACTATTGATGAGCCCGAGAGTCATTTACTGGTTCCCTGCGTGTCTAGCAGGGCAGAGTCCGATGGGGGTATAATTAAGTATAGTCCAATTGCAATCTTTTGCTTGACGAAATCAACTGAACTGTGCTAAAGCTAAGGCTGGAAGGAGGATATCTTCACAATGGTCTCAGAGTAGAAGAACCTCGGGAAACGAGTTGAGAGATCATGATCAGTCGATTCTTTCCTCTGATCTTGATTCTTGCTGTAAGCAAAAAAAAAAGTAGAATGAGCAGCATGGCGAAATGAAAAAAGAAATTATCAACACGGGAAACTGGCAACTTGAACAACCGATAACTGGAGTGTTTTTTTTTTTTTTGCCTCTACACACCGAGAAGCCGAAAGAAATTGACATGATCCGGTCCATCAGCCCGTGCCGATCAACGTTCTCACAGAAATATGGCTGAGAATTTGTGCAGCTAAATCAGGAAGGACATACACTGCAGTCACCAAGTTTTTTTCAACACGTGCGGGTGATCTGAGAAATTGAGTCATTCGGGAAGCTGATCACCAAATTTAAGTTGATCAATGAATGAAAGCGTTTTTTCACTCTGATTTTTTGAAGAAATTTGCATAGGACTCTTTCGGTATCTGTAATTCCGCGTCAGAGGCAAAAAGGCATAACTAAAAAAAAAATCACCCCAGAGATAACGAAGAAGTTTCGTAGAGAAGTGAACATCCCCACCCTACCCCGAAAATTGAATTGCTTCCCCGAAGACAATATGTTCGAAGAAACAACAAAGCAGAATGAGCAGCATGGCGAGAAAAAAAAAGAAGGAATTTATCAACACGAGAAACTGGCATTTGAACAACCGACAACTGGAGTGTTTTTACACACCGAGAAGCCGAAAGAAACCGCCATGATCCGGTCTATCAGTTCAAACTCCGCCTACGGAGATGTCGCAACGTTTACGGCCCCTAGAATTTTGCGTAGTACTGAAGTAGCTACATAAATCATCATCAAGAAGTGACATACACTACAAGTCAAACTTTCAAACGTGCGAAGTAATCTAAGATCGGGAAGCTGATCACCAAAATTGAAAGTGACTTTCATATACATTCTGATTTTTTGAAGAATACAGTAACAACAGGGCTCTTCGATATTCCGAGTCGGCATCAAAAGGCAAAGCGCTTTTTTGTTCACCCCAGAAATAAACTTCGAACAAGTGAAATGAAGAAAAAGTTTCGTAACTGAGGACTGAATTGCTTCCCCCGAAAGAGAAATGTGTTCGAGGTATTTACGGTAAATTCAAAAAGTCAACTATACAAAGTGCAACGTTCGTTACAACAATTACTGGGAAAAAGAGCTCAAAGTGGTACAGTGTTCCGTGTTGCCCGAAAAAAAAAATTGGGGGGGGG